GCAGCAGCAGCAGCACGAACCCCCTCCCCCCCCTCCCGGGCTTGGTTTCGGGGCGTCAGTTCCTCCTGCTGCTTGGACGGTGGCCACAGGCAGGGCAGAGTTAATCGGCTGCTCCGAGTCCTGATGTGGACGGTGTGAGGGGCAACTTCCTTCCCGCAACACCCCTCCCTCGGTTCGGTCAATGGAGGTGTGATCGGGGAGACCGACCTCCTCCCTCCGCCTCAAGGAGCACTAGAAAATTCTGCCTCAGCCGCCCCGTATGGTTGCACCAGCTAGGAATCGAAGCTGTCGTGGTGCAGCACTAGGGGCAGGCAGGAGTCGGGCGAGGCCGACTTCCCGGGCATCTGAATGCCCTTGGCTGCTCCAGCGACTCCCTCCCTTTCCCAGCCAGTGTAGAGCAAAGTCTGCTCCCGAGTCGAAGTTTTAAGCTGGCAGGCGTGTCAAGGTAGCTCTGAAGACGCCAAAGGCTCCTGGAGCAGAAGGGTCCCTCGAGGGGGTGCTATGGTCTCCATGCAGTAACCCCCCTAAAAATATCCTTGGCAGCAGATGGTCGCCTGTCGTTTGCTGGAGCAAAGTGTGCCCAGCACCACTTTGGGTCATTGGTTCCCGCGGGAGCTATTAGGAATTTCAGCCGCCCCCAGCTGCGAATCTGAGCTTCAGAATGCAGGTGCCCATTCGGTTTGTGCAGCCAAAGGCCTCTTCCTGTTGGGAACCGTCTCCTAAGGTCGGGAGCTGCCTCCACTTCTAGGTCTAAGTCTTGTCTTAGGGCAAGTACCCCCCACTTTCCACACTGGGTAACACAAATGAGGGTCTCTTCTCCAGTGATGTCCTCCCATCAGCTTTTACCACTGAGTATCTGTCTTCCGCAGCCCCTCCATCCAGCTATAAAATGTAGAGTGCTTAGTCTGAGTCATTTTTAAGTAGGGAATCAACTTATGGGTCAGTTGCACGCGTAGCTATTCAAAAGTAAGTCTTGCTGCATGATGGAGGTTCTCTGAGCTTGGTTTTTTGATGGCAGATGCTTCGTTATCCTACCAGGCAACATCATTAGTGCAGGAGTTTTGGAAAAGCTATATTATTGAGCTCCAGGTAAACAGGTATAGGATTGCAGCCTAAAGACTTAATTGCAGAGTACAATGTCCTCCCCATCCTAGTTAATTGGTGGGGCTGATCGTGAAGGGCTCACCACCATACAGTGACTCAGCCCTCATGAAAAGGTTTAACACAGGCTTTCCTTCCGATCTCATTTCCATTCTATTCAGTAGGATGATATGGCTTGTGTTGGCATCTGCTGGAAACAGATGGCCCTTGGTTGAATTCGTGTTGCTGCTAAGGATAAACCCAAAGGAAGTTGGGAAGGGCTCTTTCAGCACTCTGTTTTAAATTATCCCCCCCCCATACCCGCCTGGGATTGAGCAGTTTTTTTCTTGTGCAAGGGTAGTTGGACCAGCATGGCAGCACCATATTCTGCCAGGGCTTCTCTTGCCCCCCACCCATGACTCTGGAGCTCCTAGATGGGTACTCCCACCTGCACCCCAGAAAACATGGCAGGTAGCCCCCTCCCTCTGCCTGGCTCACTTTGCAAAGAGGATGCTGGGCTCCTGGGCTCCTCCTTGCAGGAGGCTGCTCCTTGTGGCTGGGCTGAGAAGTGTCGCCTTCCCCTGAGCAATTGTCTGACGCAGATTCTCCTTGTAGATCCCCTCCCGCACCTTCTTTTAAAGTCCAGTAGATCTGGAGTTCTGTTCAGACCAAACCCTGCTTGAGGAAATTTGGGGGGGAGGGGGAGGGGGAGAGGGAGGGCATCCATGGACTTGAGGAAGGAAGAAAAAGTCCCTGTGGGGTAGGGTCTTGCTGTGGAGCCCCTCCAAACTTTGGCCACCTGCCCCATGTGGAAAAGGAGAGGTTGGTCACCTGAGGGGCTCGGAGACTGTCACGTAGGCTACTTACATAGAAAGAGGGGAGGGGTGGCTGCAGTCTCTCCACTGCCTCCCCCACCTGAGCACAGCAAGAGCCCTTGCAGGAAATTGGCCCCAGTCCCAGGCCTACAGCAGCACCGCTCTCCCCAGCAGGCTGGGCACCTGAACTTTCCAGCTCGGCAGCCAGGCTGCCAGCAGAGGATTATCTCCATCAGGAGCTGTTCTGGGTGGAAGGTTGCACAAAACCTCTCAGCAAGGTAGCTGGTTTATGATGCCAAGCACTGTAGGACAAGAAGGCCTCTTTCTGCCATCCTTCCTTCATGATCCCAACCAATCTCATTCTTTTCCATCGCAGCCCCTGCCCCATGGAACACCCTCTGACAGGCCCCCAACCCTTTTAGCATTCAGGAGAGCACTTAAGACCTGGCTCTTCCCCAGGCATTGGGATAGGGTGAGGTCAGAGTGGGAGGGAATGTGTGGGTTTGGTCAGGGATGTGTGGCTCCGGTGCCCTTTTTTCCTGCTTTTTGTTTTTATTGTTTCTTGCTTTTGATATGTCTATGTTGTTTTATTCTTGATTGTAAGCTGCCCAGAGTTTGGTTTAAGATTTGCAAATGTCATAAATAAATAAATAAATAAATAAATAAATAAATAAATAAATTCAGGGGCACCTCCCAGACTTCCCAGAGGGGGGACATCTTGGACTGCCCTTTCTGCCTCCCTAACCACCTGCCTAAATTCACCCTTTGCTTCTGCCAGTACTCCCCTCCCGGATGCAGCTGGGGGATGTTCGGGAGAGGGCGTGCAGCTGCCCAACGAGCTGACTAGACTTCCAGGAGGGACAACAGCAGGAGAGGGCCTCCAGATGAGGCTTTTGTGCACAGCTGCTCTCCCTGATTCATGGTGTTTTGTGGGGAACCAAGGATGGCACCCCCATTTTGTAACTCACCCAGGCCTTTTTTGCCAGCAAAACCAAAAGTTTAAGGTGGGGCAGGCAGAAGGCTGCTATGCTATACCCCAGAGGCCGCCTGTCTGGAAGCATTCTAAGCCCCATCGGAGATGGCATGTCCCTTACCCTGCCTTCTTGGAGGAAAAAGTGCAATCCTAAAGGCATGAAAGAAAAGGGGAGCTTGTGTCCATGGTTGGCATTTTATTCCTTTCTTTACATAAGATTAGCGCTGCTGGATCAGGCCAAGTTCCATCTGAGTCTGGGTCTCTCACAGCGGCCACCCAGTTTGCAAGCAGGAGGTTGGAGACACAGCCCACCCCGCCGCTGCTCCCCAGCAACTGGGTTTTGGAGGGAGGTTGCCCCCCAACCGGAGGTGACACTGAGTCTTCAAGGCCCGTTCCCCATGAATTTCTCCAGTTCCCCCTTAAAGCCATCCAAACTAGTGACCATCTCTGAGCTTACGGGAATGATTTGCCAGGCTTATTTGCACAGTGCGGAGATCTATATTTGCACTTTCCTCATTACACACTGTACATGATTTCATACCCTGGGATCGTTCATGCCCCGGCCCCCATCTCGCAGAAAGCAGCTTATCTGGGGCAGCAGCACAAAGGATTGTGCCCAGGTGGAAGCAGCCGCCTGGTCTTTTGAGGCCCGAACATCTGCACAAAGCAGAATGCGGTCCAGAAGGAGCAGCGTCTCTTGGGGGGGCTCCAGATCCAGCCTCAGGACTCCTCTGGTGCTGCCAGGTGAAAGTGCGGAGGAGGCCCAGCCCAAGGGTGGGTGCAGGCGCATGGCCTCATTAGCTCATAATCCAGCCTCTAGCCCAGGCTTCCGTTCAAGGACTTTTTCTCCGTGTGTGCGCACGCATGCGAGTGTGAACCAACCATGCTGTCTCCCATATCAGAGTTAAAATGGAGCGGGGTGGGGGACAGGCACGGAGAACCCCCTCCCTTGGCTCCTGAGGGGAGGAAGTGGACTTGGAGGGGTTGTGGGGAGGAGAGGGGGAGCAGCAACTAGGGTCAGCTTTGCCTCATTTGCTTTTTGTCCCCCTTCCAGGTCTCCCTGGCCACAAAGACCGCCACTGGAGCTACAGAGGTAAAGGCCCTGGCCTCGCTCCCCTGGGCCCCTGGCCAGGTGGCGGGCTGGTTAATGATTAGCCATCTCCGGTCACACCTGCTGCCTTGTCCTCTCCAGCTGCTGACTCCTGGCCCAAAGCCTGCACGAGCATATCTGGGCCTGAAGTGGGGGAGACCCATTCTGATCCCCTCCCCACCCTCCTGCAGCCTTTCCTTAGCCAATACCAGGTCATCATTCATGCCCACCTGCCCACATGCATCCCTGGAGGAGAGGCAAGGACAGCTGTCCTTGGACTAAGCCCCCTGCCACCGGTCCCACCTCCACCCACCCACACACACACACACACACCCGTGCCCAAGAGCACCTGACTACATTCCATTTGTAGCATTCCCACCCATCCCAGGGTTGTCAGCCCACCTGCATTTGCACGCTGCAGGCAAGCCTCCTAGTCTCTGCCCAGATCCACCCCAGATCTGGCTGCTTTGCTGGCACTGTGCTCTGGGGGAATCAGCTGCTTCCCAGATTCAGCCAGTTCATGCAGCAACTGAGAGGTGGCAGGTCCGTGTTTTAAAACCAGGGCGGGTGAGGTGTGTGAAGCCACTACAGCATACCAGAAAAGCTGTCTGGAAGTGCCTGTGGCGTCCTTCCCACCCCTCCTGCCTTTGCTGGAGTGAGGCTGACCAGGCTCCCCTTCTTCCTCCTTGTTAAGCTTTCTTCCCTGACACCCACCTAACGTTCCCACCCCCCTGAGGCAGCTGAATGGCTCTGAGGCCTCTGAAGCCTGCTTGTTTCTTCCAGACATGCCAGAGTGGGCATCCATGTTTCCCAACTGCGGGGGTCATATGCAGTCTCCCATCAACATCGACACAGCAGCTGCCAGCTTCAGCTCCAAGTTGGAGCCCCTGCTACTGTCTGGCTATGACGTGCCTCCCAATGAGACGCTTCCTCTGAAGAACAATGGGCACACTCGTAAGCATTATGTGGCTGCTGAGAATGGTGGGCTGGGGCCAGCTTCAGTGGGCGGGGTCCCAGGAAGGTCATAGCAGGTAGCTTCTGGCAGACCGTGCTGTTTCCTCATGCAGAGTTCTTCCTGCTCCTTGGACAAGGGCCACCTCATTTTCATCTTGGGCTTACCTTCCCATAACTGGGCCTGTTAGTGATGAAGGGGAGGGGGCCGTGCCTGCTGCCAGGTTTCAGCTTGGGCTCTTGAGTCTAGTCTGTCTGGCCCCATGGAGGTTGCCTGATGAATGATGGCCCAGACTCCCAGGTTACAAAGAGCAGTTCCCCAGGATCACCCTTCCAAACTGGAAAAGTTAGAAAGGGACTGGGATTGAGGTTGTGGCATGCAAGCAAACAGGAGACAACTCTCAAGCAGAAAGACAGCGGGACTTAATGAGACTACAGGAGTCACTGCTTCACAGGAAGTGGCTGCTGTCAGGCAGGATCACTTACATCACAAGTAACAGGGTGAATCTCTGATTGCAGGGCTACCACTGCCACCTCTTTCTTAACTATTACCACCACCACCACCCCAGGGCACCCCTGGCCACTGTTCAAGCTGCCTTACTTAATATATTAGTCCTTTGAGAGAAGATGAGTTGATTTGTGATAAATGCCAGGAAGAGGCACCATCTTTGTGTTTGATGGCCTCTTCTTCTGATTGCCACACACTGGTCACTGGCCAGAAGGCACAGCTCCGCCTAGACAAGTGATGGCATTTGGTTGGCACTGGAATGAAGCCTAAAGAGTGTGCTTTAGTGACTACCAAGCATTTTGCAATTAAACAAACATGAATATTTTTGTTAATCGAAGGAAAGAGGAAAATGCCATGTCCACAGTGTATGGGAAAGAGCCTCTTGCAATCTTGCCATCCATCTTAGAAGGACCCTAAAATTGTGAAGTCCAGGCACCTCAGCTGAAAGCACTCCTTGTCTTGGCTTGAATACATCCATGAAAGAGAGATCATTTGTCAGGTCTTTAAGGGGTTTTCATGAACAAAAGTTCTGTTCAATAAGCCTTCAGAATTGATGGCCAAAGTATGCAGCATTCTCAGAGAAAGTGGCCGCTTCGCACTGATCAGAGTGCAAAGTCAGTCCTTCATAGGATTTAGCATCTGCTCCCCTGATCACCTTGGTCGCTTTTATCTGTTCCAATTTTCCTGAATCCTCCTTAAAATGTGATGATGGGAGTTGAACACAGCACTAAAGGTAGGATCTGACCAAGGCTGAATGCAAGGGATCCAAAGTAGAATAAAATGGAACTTCCTGTGACTTGGAATGTACGCTTTGGCTGAGGCAGCCTAAAATTGCATTTGCCATTTTTTGCAGCTGTATTATAATGCTGGCTTGTATCCAGTCTGCAATCTTTTTCAGAAATACTAAAATCAAGCCAGGCAACCTGCATCCTGTGCCTTCACACTTGATTTTTTTCCTAAGAGAAGAATTTGCATCTATCTCTATCAACTCAGTTTTGAATTTTATTTCTGCCTTCTAGACTATTATGTATTCCACCTAATTTGGCGTGATCTGCAAATCTTACAAGCTCCTTGTCCACAACATCAGTACAAACACTGAAGATCAAAGGGTCCAGAAATGAACTTTCTGGCACCTTATTTACCTGATATCACTCTTCAGTTGGATGGGGAACCATTAATAAGCACTTTTGAGCTGGGTGTGTAGGGTGTGCAGACATTTGGATTGGAAACAGAAAAGGTGCTTCAGGGGCCACGGGCAGGCTCTCTGCACTGATCAGTGTCTTTTTAGAGAAGTGGTGCCTTCTCCTGACCTTGAACACTAGCTGTGCAGTCCCAGAAAGGAATGTGTTTAAGGAGGCAGCAACAGGGTTGTTAATGCCTCCTTGCCACACCACATGTGGGGTTTCTTTAAGGAGCTATCCACAAGTGCAGGGAGCGTGTCCATGCTCTATCTGCACATCGCTACGGCCCGTGCTAAACTTGGCCACTGATCAGAAGGTTAATGGGTGCATTGTCAAGGGTGGTGGCATCCACACACATACAAAAGAGGTGGAGCCACCGTGATGCGGACCCAAAGCAGCAAGGTCTTGCCTACGATCTATTACAGAAGTTCCCCAGTCAAAAAAATGAGATTAGCCTGCCAAGACCTGTTCTCGAGAACTCCATGTTGAATTCTGGTACTTATCACATCATTATCAAGGTTTTCATCAATCAGCCTCTTTGCTGCCTGTCTGGCAACCGTCTTCTCGGGGATGTTGTGAGACTGACGGGTCTGTAGCTTGCTGGGTCTTGCTTCTTGCTTCCCTGCTTTTTGAAGGTACAGATACTTGTTGTCCAATCATCTGGCACCTCAGAATTTCTCAAAGATAATCCATCAGGGTTTGACCAAGACAATCAATAAGTTTCTGTAGTAAGCTAGGACACAGCACATCTGACCCTGGATATTTTAAAATGTTCAGTGTAAATAGATCTCAGGCTTCATTTCTCACCCGTCATCCTGCTCTTCGCCATTTTCTGGCAGAACACTGACATGCTTGTTGGTGAAGATTGAACCAAAATAGGAGTAGAGTAGCTCTGGCCTTTCTTCACCTGTCAGCATTTACTGAGCTGGTATATTGTTTCTTTCCTTTTCCTTTTATTTTGAATATACCCAAATAAGCTATTTTTGTTGTTCTTGGCATCCTTTGCCAACCACAGCAGATTCCAAGCTTTCACTTTCCTGATCTCCTCTCAACCAGGTATGTGCTCTTCCGTGCTGATGTGGGGCTCTTTTATTTCTGTTTCAGAACTTCACAAAGCCTTTTGTATGTCCACCTTGACTAGTTCTGCTGTCTTCCATTTTTTAATTCATTTGAATTATTTGCATTGCGCTTTTAGAATCTCTTTTCTTGGAACTTCTGTTCTGGAGTTCCTTTTTCTATTAGCTTCTCCTGCCACAGAATCACACTCCTCGTTGCCCTGAGTTTATTCAACTCTATTTTGGGGGGGAAAGGGCAAGATACACATTTGACTATACACAGCAGTCATTCAGTTGCTCTCAATGCTTATGATCCAATGGATGGCATTTCACAGAATCATGGTGTGGGAAATGCTGGTCTTTTAGTTCACCTCCCTACCCAGGGCAGGAGTCCTCAAACCATCCCAGACAAATGGCCATCCAACCTTTGCTCAAAAACCTCCAGTGATGGAGCCCCCAAGGCTCCAGAAGGCAGGCTGTTCCACTGCTTTATTGCTCTCACAGTCAAGAAATTCCTCATTTCAAGTTTGAATCTCCCTCGGTAAAGCTTCCTTTCAATAGTTCTTGTCCTACCCTTGAGAATAAATGTACACCCTCTTTTTTTGACCCCCTCCCCTTTAAGTATTGGAAGACTGTCATCATGGCTCTCCTTAGCCTTTTCTCCTGTACACTAAACATACCAGGTTCCTCTGATGAATCTCTGTAGGATTCAGCCTCCAAGCCCTTCACCATCCTGGTTGCTCCTCTGCCCTCCTTCCAGTTTCCTTCTTGTGTTGTGGCAAGACACAGTACTCTATGTGCACACTGAGCAGGGCAACATGGAGCAGAATTGGCAGGGATCTCAACACTACATTTCTGTTGATGTGACCCCAAGATTGCATTAACTCTTTTGGCACCTGCAGCACATTGCTGGCTCATGCTTAATCACTGGTCTACCAGGATGCCCCGATCCTTCTCATAGCTATTACTGCCAAACCATGTATCTCCTAAAGTATCTGTGCATCTGATTTTTCTGATAAAATGCAAAACCCTATGTTTCTCCCCATTCAACTGCATTTTGTTAGATAAGACCCAATATATAAGTTTATTGAGAACCTTTTGAATATTGTGCCTGTTTTCTGAGGTGTAAGCAATCCCTTTCTCCAGCTTTGTGTCATCTGCAAATTTGCTGAGCATCCTTTGTATTTCCTTGTCTAAGTAATTTATGAAAATGTTGAAGAACACTGGGCCCAGGACAGAACCTGAGGTACCCCACTGCATACCTTTCTCCATGTAGACACAGATCCCTTAAGGACCACACAAGGGACACAGTTGTTCAGAAGCAGATTCACTGGGTAGCGGAACTAACCATCCCACATTTCTCCAGTTTATCAAGAAGGAGGACATAGTCACCCTTATCAAACTCCTTATAGGATTGTCTGTCAGTAACTGCTTCCTTGACTTCTTGTAAGCATCAGCTTTTGTCATCAGTGATGGTATCTCACCACTTTGTCTTCTGGTGGCCTCTTTTTAAATTGCTTTTGATTCTTCCAAGCATCGAGAATGACAGCATTACATGATCACTTTCTATTGGTGTTCCTGCTACTGGCATTTCCTTCACTCAGGGCTCATTCATGTGTTCACTTCCCTCAGTGTAAGGATGCTCTGCTTACCATTTCTCAGACACAGGAACACATGGTCCCACTTCTATCAAAGGATGAAGTTTGTCCTGCATTGTAAGAGCAATATAAATTGACCTGGGAAATGGGAGTCAAGGGGGTTCCCTAACACGCTGGTGAGCCCAAATGCAGGGATCTCCTGCTGCTTACAGCCTGGAATCCAAGAAAAAGTGTTTTGTTTTCTTCCCGAAGCATGACTGGTTGATTATGTGCCATCAAGTTAATGTTGATTCTTAATGATCACACAGATAGATTTTCTCCAGGAGAATCTGTCCCCAACCTGGTCCTTCAGACCTTCCAGTGGTGTTCCCATTACCACTGTAACACAGTCCATCTGCTCTGCCTTCCCCTCACTAGCCCTAGGAATCCTGGAGGGCCCTGATAGCTACACTAATGAGAAACCTGGTAGCAGTTGGATCGACTTTTCCACAGACGGATCTCCTTTTTTCTTCCCTAGGAATAGAATTCCTTGAAGATTCTCTTTGCTCTATGCATGGCTGCTCCTCAGCAGTCAAGTCCTCTGTTGGCAGCATAGGTGTGCCACTGTGATACAAATACAAACCTTAAGATTGCTTTGAGGACTGGCACATTTCCACAAAATGAAAAACTTTTTGTGCCTGACAGTTGACTCAGTACCTTGTGTGTGTCAACAACGTTTAGCAGATGAGATCTTGTTCCATTGTCCACTGACTTCTGCAAGTGGAAAAAGAAAATTTGCATGGTCGATGGTGTCTTCAGTCAGAAAGCATTATTGGGTGTTGGGAGTTAAACACTATTTTAGCAATGGCTGTTTGGGTGGTAACAGCCACCTAGTTGGGGACACTGAAACTGGAAAGATTAGATCTTAAAATAAGATTTTCCAGATTATCATGTTGGTGAAGATGTACATTCTGCTCTAGGAGGTAAGCCCTGACCTGAGTTAAAGATGTGCCAGGTAACAGGCCCTCTCTTCAAGGTTTCTCCAGTAACCTCCTCTAATGCTACCCACAGTGGCTGGTGTGGGTCTTCCGGGCTACCCACAGTGCTTGCCAGAATCCAGGCCAGGCGTTCCCAGGAGGGGCTGCAGTTAGCTAGAGGGTCTTCCCCCCCCCCTTTCATCCCATATGCTTTGAGAAGAGGGAGAGGAGTGGAGCTGAGCTGAGTGATGTCATGGACATGGACAGGTGTGAAGGTATAAGAGGAAAACCTGATTGTTCAGCCCTGAAATCAGACTAGTGAAGTTTAGCTGAGTGATCTCCTTGCAAGCAAGAGAGGCTGAAGAAGATGTGCTGCTCTCTGAGAACCTGAGCAGAAGTATCTCCCCTTGACAATCATTCTCTCCCTTCCCCAGTTCTTCTAGGTCTGCCCAATAAAATGACACTCAGTGGTGGTGGCTTCCCACAGCCATACCAAGCAGTTCAATTGCACCTGCACTGGGGAACCGGGCACACCAGGCCTGGCTCTGAACACACAGTGGATGGGCACCGTTATGCTGGTGAGGTAAATCAATTATTTTCTGTGAGATGGGTGGCTATTCCAATTTTATTAATAAATAAATAAAAATTCCTCCCTGGGTTTTGTTGCAGGTTGTGTAACATAGATGCTTTGGGTTATCCTAATGGTCTCATGAAGTATGACCTTATATGTATATCATGTGCAGGGAGTGCCTTGGGGAACTAAGAGGGGGCACATCCTTGAGTGTGCTCAATGGTATCCTCTGTGTTTGCCTCCAGATTCATGTGGTCCATTACAGCTCCCATTTTGACAGTTTCCAGGAGGCTGCAAGTGAGCCAGGAGGGTTAGCTGTGCTGGCTGCGTTCCTGCAGGTGATGGGGGTGGGAAGAGATGGGGGTTGGGCAGGGCAGGTATAAAGTACTTGTGGTGTGGGGTTCACACTTGGCTTACAAGCAGCATTTCCATCAGCTGCCCTGGAGGAAGGATCCTAGAAATGTCTGTTGTGGTTTTTGAAGATACATTAGTTTTGTGTTTTTATTTACAATGGGTGATGTTGTTTGTAAATAAACCAGAGGCCATTGACCCTCCCTCTGGAGAAACCAGGCCCATGGTTACATGAAGTTGAGTGCACACACACACGCACCCCTCTGTTATTTTTGTCTCCTGTTCCAGGTTGGGCTGGAAATAAATGAACCCTATCAGCACATCCTCAAACATCTGAGTGATATCAAGGAGGAAGGTAAAAAAGGACTGGGGCAGCTCCCCTCTGTTTTCTGCTTTGGGCCCAGCAGCAGAATTGGATGTGCTGGAACCAGGCAGGAGAAAGGCCAGTGGCACTGGCTGATGGTGCTACCATGTCCGTGGTGCATGTCCACAGTCTAGGTGCCTCTCGAGGAGAGCAGGTGGTTAGCCATGATAAGACCAGCAGGCTTCTCTGCACCAGTCCTCAACCTCTATCCCTGGCTTCTTTTAGCATGTTACCTATGTGACACTTCCACCCTTGCTAACCAGAGAAACAGAGCTACGTGTGTTAGGTGGGCTGATGAGGCAAGGAACTGAAGTCAGCAGAAGAAAGACATAGGCACGTTGACATAGTCTTGATTAACCACAAGCGTTGCTCCTTGTGTGAGTGCCATCAGTGTCTCTGATCACCACATTCTCATTCATCTGAGGGGATATTCTTCTAGTAGCTGTTCAAGTGACCTTTGGGGGTACCCTTCTATTTAGGCAGCAGTGTCCTTCCAGGTGGCTCATGTTTGTATACTTCTCTACTTCCTTCCTGGATGATCCTCATAGAGTTTTCTCCTTTCTTAGGAGAGGAAACCGTAGTTGCTGGCTTTGATGTAACCAAGCTGCTCCCTGACAACTTCGATCGCTATTTCCGCTACAATGGCTCACTGACCACCCCACCTTGCTATCAGACGGTGAACTGGACAGTCTTTAATCAGACGGTTCGGCTCTCCCAAGATCAGGTCTGTCTGAGTGAAGAAAAGGCATGGCATGCATGGCATGGCATGGCATGGCATGGCATGGCATGGCATGGCATGGCATGGCATGGCATGGGCGTCTCAGGAAGGAAGTAGTTGTCCTGGCTTCCTGTGGTCTTCCTGGTGCGTCTTTGGATCCTCAGAATAACACTTTGCTCCATCTGGGTGACCATTGGTGGCCCTTCTCACTGCAGATCTCGGTGCTGGAGGATACCCTTCAAGGAGAGGATGATGAGCCCATTCAAAGTAACTTCCGCCTGCCACAGAGTCTTTATGGTCGGAGCGTCCTTTCAAGTTTTCACATCCTTCAAAGGGTTCAGCCACCTGGTAAGTGAACCAGGCAACACCTGTTTTCAGAGCAGGTGTTTGGACCAAAAGGGATTTCCTGTAAGGCAGATCTCAGATACAAAAATCACTGAACCCAGGAATGTCATATTTATAAGAATATCCTTGGAGATGATCCAGTCCAGTCCTAGTCTATTCCAAAATTGTCCCAGTATCATTCTAGTGTGGCACATTTGAGGCCTAATCAAACCCTACTCTTCTATACAGTGAGCACTTAGTGGAAGGGGAGGTGGTGGCCACCCTGGCCCTGAAGATGGAAATGGGCTGCACTGGACTCCCTCCTCAGTGTGACCTGCCTTTTCTTCCTCTCCTTTGGCAGCTCCATCATAATCCACTCTCATTGCTCCTTCTTTTTATACTTAAAGGTTAACTGGTCTTTCAGGTTTTGGAGATGAATCTCCCATTTTTGCTGTGCCTTTGTTTTAATATCTCCAATCTTTCGTGAGCTGGTAGCTAGAAAACGTGAGTCCTTAATTTTTTGAAGTCCAGGTGGTGCCAATAATCAGCATAAGTATCTTGGTAAGGGGATCAATTCTGTCTCCTCCATATGACAAGTGAAATGCCTCTCGGGATCCCTCAAGCAGGGCACACTGCAGCAGAGTCTCCTAGGCAGAGAGGAAGACAGGATGGTGCAACAGCTACCAGTCCCAAGGTAGATGGTGCCTTCAAGTCCAGTGAACACTCTCCAAAGCTGGCCAAGCAAAGAGCAGGGAAGATTACATCTATGCCCATTCCTAGGATCCCTGGAGGTGCCTGGGAGGAGCAGATGTTGGTGTGTTCCAGCGGGGGATGGGGATCCCCCAGACATCTCCTCCATTTATTAATAGGCATCTTCCTTTTTTGGAAGAGAGCCATTTTCATTGCATTCTAAATCCCAGGAGACAGGCTATTCCAGCTTCATGGAAGGTGGGATTCCCACTGAGAATATAATGGAAGGACAACTTCTATCTCGATTAGATGATCTAGCAAGGACCCAAGCCAAAAAGGGATTTCTAATAACCAGCACCTGAAAGCTGGCTGAGCACCAGTACAGCTGCCACTCAACAGGTATTCTCCTACTGGGCTGGTGCTGACCAGGCAGCAATGGGCAACTACATTTTGGAGCAGCTGTAGCTTCTACATTGTCTTCAGGGCAGCCTCATGTCAAGTGAGATGCAGCGACCTACCTGTGAAACTATGAGGGCACGCGTGGCTGTTGCCAGCACCTCCTGATCAAGAAATGTGCACAAGCAGGTACACAAAATGTCAGGAGCATGCTTAAGCTATCTTCCAAAGTCTGCACAGGGGAGTGAAAGTGGAGCAATGACACATTGCGACTAAACTAAACTTAACAGTATAAGGATGATAATATAACAACATAATAAATAACATCCCACATGCTAAAAGAACCACCATAATGCCCTCCTTATCAGGAGACACTAAAATGACTCCCTCAGTCCTCAAAGTCCCACTGAAAGAGCCATGACTTAATGGCGTTAAGAAAGGGTCAAGGCCTAATGGATTTTAAAGGGTCAGCAACTGAGAAGACCCAACTTTGGGAACCCTGTAGATGATATTTCCTAAGGGACCAGACCCAGAGGAAGCTTTGTCTTCCAGGTCTAAATGGATGGGCAGAGACCATCCCAGATATCCAGTCATCAGCTACAGCAGACTTCAAAATTCAAAACCAGGACCTTGAATTGCACCTCCCAAAATTAGTCACAACCAGTGCAGTTTTCAGGGCAGAGATTTTACGAGTAAATCAACCATGCCTATAACTGCTCAAGCTGCTGTATGCTGGAGCACTTGAAGTGTCTTCAAGGGCAGCCCCATGTAGAGCACACTGCAGTAATCCAAACCGGTGGTAACTAAGGCGTGAGTGATAGTGAGCAAAGCTCTCAATCCAAAGAAGGTCATAATCAGGACACATGATGGATCTGGGCAAAGGCTGTCCTAGCCACAGCAGCCACTCTCAAGCAGGAGCTATGAGTCCAGGAGGACTCCTAAAGTACAAACCAGCACTGCGTGGGAAGCACGACCCCATCCAGAGCCCAAGATGGAATGTTTCTGGAAGGAGAAACGTCCACACCCAGAGCCAATTCTGTCTTTCTGTGATTGTCTCTAAAGCTGTTCACTCCCATCCAGACCTTCACAGCCTCCAGACACTGGAACAGTACCCCAGCCACATTCCCTGTCTGACCCAGAGTCAATATATACAGCTGAGAGTCATCTGTATACTGATACTGTGTGTGTGTGTGTGTGTGTGTGTGTGTGTGTATAAAAATTCCCCTCTCACCCCTATGGGTGGCATGTGTCTTCCACAATCTCAGGTCCTCTACCAGAAGCCTGGGAGTTTGAGGGTTCTGCCCAGTATCTTAGTTGTTCCTAGCACTGCACTCTTCTGAACAGAGAGCTCTGATGTTGCTCCTGGGATCTGTTGGAGCCACTCTCCCAGCTCAGGAGTCACAGCCCCGAGTGCTCCTACCACCACCGGGACCACTTTGGCCTTTACTTTCCACATCCTCCCCAGTTCCTCCTTCAGGCCCTGGCACTTCTCCAGCTTCTCATG